CACGAATGTATCCGAAAGCAAGACAAGTTTAAAAGTCGCTGGTTCGCCCGAGGGCACTCCTGCTGAAATTAAGAGAAACGCACCACCAGCGGTCCTTCTCTCCTCCATGGTCCTCTTCCAGTGGCCATACAAAAATCCTCAAATGCTGCCCCCGCTCCGAAGCGCAGTGCTCCTGGGTGATTTGAAAAGCGACGTGTCACATTTTCCGACGGCAGGTAAGATGCGGAAAACTGCAGGTTACCGGCCGACCAGGGTTGTAACCTACCATACCACCACCGTCACCGGCAGATGGCGCTGTGCCATACTCAAGGCCACTTCCCCAGTAGTTTTTGGCGGGCGCTCCAGCCGCTGCGCTCTTTCCCCGAAAAACCGTTTCCGGGCGGCTTAAGGCCTGACAGTCGTCTTTCCGCTGGCGCATGCGCGGAAGGCGGTCCTTCTCGCTCTCTTCTCCCGAGCAGCAGGTAGGGTCGCGGAGCCCCGGTCGCTATGGCGTCGGGGAAATCCTCTCTCCCCCTGCCTGCCTCACCCCGGCCGGCCTTTTTGCTTCGCTTCTCTTGCACCCCGCTCCTCCTCAGCGTTGAAGAGGCGCACAGCGGGGTCGACCGGGACACGCACCGTCTCGGCGGGGCAAGGGGGAGGAGCCTGTGGTGGGCGGGGCCACCCTTGGGAATGATCTTGCCCGGCTTGTGGGCGGGGCTTGCGGCTCGAGGGTTCCCCCCCCCCGAATGCGCAGGGTCCGCAGTGGCGGGACTGGACTCCAGCTCCCTGCGTGGCGGCGGCCTCAGGGCGCGGCGCGGGCGTCCTGCCGTTGATGCCTTGCGGGGCCGATGCGCGCGACGAAGCAGCCCCGGGCTGCCTTACGCTCGTCCTTCGGGAGGCGTGCTGAGCCCCTGAGGCTGCTGCCAGCGTTTCTCAGCCTTCTCTGCCGCTTTGATGTGGGCAGAGGCGTGACCTGATTCGGTTCAGACCGGCGGCAGTTAAAAAGAAAGCTGTAAGTTTTGCTGCCTGCCCAAGCTGTGAGTTGAAAGAGGAGGCATCTGAGCGTCAAGCTAACGTGATTAGTTTTTAACACCGGCAAAGTGAGGTTGGCACAAACCCTCTCATCTTGTAACCGCACGGTCAGGTATTCATTCACAGATGAGCGTCTTGGTTTACTTCATGGCCTCTGTTGTTCCTTTAATGCCCACTTCCTTCCTTTTCCCACCCCTTTGGCATAGGAATTGGTGAAGTTCAGGTTTACACGATGTACTTTTTTCCTGGATATTGGCAGGAAAGCAGCTGAAACTGAATAATGTGTTGATTTATCAAATTCAGAGCCCAGGACTTTGTTCTGAGTAATTTATTTATCTATACTGCATCCCACTTTTCATTTAGGAGCTCAAGACAGCACGCTTAGTGCTGTCTCCTCCTGTTTTTTCCCACAACAAAAACCTAGTGAGATAGGTGGGGCTGAAAGTTACAGAAGCTACCCAGTGAACTTCTAAGGTTTAAGATGAATAAGAATCTGGATCTTCTCTGCTCCTAGTCCAATACCTGAATCACTTATACCACCAGAACTGATTTGAACTCACAGCCTGTTTGCAAACAAATCTGTTCTGGTTCTTTAATTCAGCAGTGTAATTTAATGCGGGTAGGAGTAATTTTGTTGTTACTATTAAACAGTCTGTCTACCATAAGACTTAATGACACATAATCAATCTATCATAAGACACACACAGATCCTTTAAATGATTCAGTCTAGTTTTTGCTCATTCCCTGCTCTAGCAGACACAATTCAAGAAATAGGCTCTCTTTTCCCATTTGCACTTGGAAAACATCCATACTGGATATGAAAAAGCTTGACAACAATAGGATTTTTTTTGTACTGTTAGTAATATTTTCTGAAGGATTGTGCAAGGGAGATAATGTATCTGACCTTTAAGTCTTCTGGTATGTGTTGAAATATTCAAGCAAGAGTAGGCCTTCAACTTCACTGAAATTTGGTTAAGAAATAATGGGAGAACCATTAGCTTCTTCAATTTTTCTGAACTGATGCATATTTCTTTATTTACTTAATATATCAAATCTGTCACCACCCATCTTGTTAAAAAAATAACTCTAGGCAGTTTACAAAGCAGTTAAAATCAATTAAAATTACAATATAAAATAATCCTAAATAAAT